TAACCACAAAATCGTTGCCTAAAAACTTTGCTTCTTCGGAAATCGACCCTTTCATGGCCAGTCAAAACCTGAAACGTAGACTCCTAACATATAAAAAAGCACGTACCTTGATGGAACTCGCAGACAGGCTGTCAACACTCCCCTTTTGATGCGACCAAAAGGGTATAAACCTATTCTCACCAAATCAACCGGCTAAAGCATCTTTTTTGACAGTATTGCTACGGAAGCACTCTTTCGTGGAATATAACACATTACTTTGATTAGAAATGGGTAAATCAATATTTACTTCAGTACATTTGTAGTAATGTTATTCGAATATTATCAATCAAGAGCAGTAGTTCAAAACTAGCGGGAGTGGAAAGCGTGAACTTCCTATGAATCACAGATGATTAGCCAAGGATATCATGAAGAGGACATAACCAAAAACAGAGTCAAAGAAATCTGAGCAGGGGTTCGGTTACAAAAATAGTCGAAAAGAGAAATAAAAAAAGAAACGCGTTCGCTACCATGACATCCAGAAAACATCTCTGAAAATACATTAGCTATTATCACTGAAATCGGTGTTGAAATCTCTGGTGGTCCAAATTGATTTTGTAGAGGCAACCCTTTAACCGCTATCCATATCAACCTAACCGTATTTCAATTTCCATCTAAAGAGTGAATGAGGCTCTTACACTCAAAATAACAACAACCAACAACAAACATCCTGAACAAACTCCGATTGGACAAACCAAGAGTAACAACTTGTAAACAATTAACCAGTTCTCGGAACGACAACGACACGCTATTAATCCTATACTGACTGAAGTAGCGTCGAAAATACTCTGAGAGGATCTAAAGTCGTAAACTACACGTGGACACACAATCTCGACGCAAGATGATTCAAAATAGGAATAAAAAGTCGTCAAACGAAGAGGCTGAGGAGAAGTCACTATGCAAAAACTATACAAGAATATATAGAGGTGGTAGAGGTACAAAACTTATTTCCTGCCCTCTTCGAATATGTGAATACGGACAAGCGGATTGTGGTGGAGACTGTCAGTGCTTCTGCGCACCTCTGCTGGATTTGGACGCTTAATGATTCGAATATTGTTCAACCAATGCAGTAACAGACGAACTAGTAATACGAATAACTGCTCAGAAACCTATTCGAATATTCACCTTTATCTTCTTTCCGGCTATGACCTGCTTAACCTCCTCTGCTGACAGCGTTTCGTATTCCAGGAGCGCTTCAGCTAGAAGCTGGTGTTCTCTCTGCAAGCAAAGTGTCAATGGTGATACATAAGCTGAACTGCCTCATATATCCACTAACTAAGTATTAACTTCAGCACGACTCAACGTACGAGAATAATAACAATTACTTGGCGATAAATTAGAACTTATTAGAAATAAGCTTGATAATCCGGTTTTAAGAATCATTTGCTAAACTAGATTTTTGTTTAAAACTGTCATGAATACAGGACCTATTCATGCACGGGTAAGAAGCTGCCACAGCCTTCAAGCTTTACAGTGTTCGACCTTAGTTGACCACCTCCGTCAGCGTGAACGCAACGCAACAACTTGCACAATGGATCGCAATAAATTCCCTGGATCTTGACGGAAATAAACAGCCTTTAAGGCACTTCACTTCTTCCATCCAGCTCCGTTCCCCCAGTCAACGAATTTATGACGATTACTGACCAGAGTACGATAAATAACAACTCTGTTATTCACGAATGAATACCTAATTAATTTGATGTGATGAAAAATTGCGATTGTCCCTCGCCGACCTATAGGAAGAGAAGAGTTGTCTGTGCTAAATAGTGGAGCGGAACAGAAAAGTTGAAGCGCTTACAGCACACTAATCCTGATATGAGGTAACGAGTTTCAACCTAATCTACTTTAGGATATAGCCTAGTTGATGTCACATGCTGCCACTGAGTTCTACTAATCAGCTAATAACGTGTAGCCGAGTCGATTAGGTTGAAAGCGTACATTTGCGACTATTCATTTACAAAACAAGTAGAAAACGAAACTGATAAAAGGCTCATGCTTACCCGATGTTTTACAAGAATATCTTTTGCCCGTTGGTAGCTGTCTGCTAGAACTTGGTTAATCTCTCTGTCGATAGTTTCTGCTGTTTGAGGACTCAGATCGCTCATCTTAATAAGAGCTGACGTAGACGAGTCTTCGGCTGTGAAATCTCGCAGTCCTGCCTGAAAAAATGCGTGATGCAAAAATAGCAACAGTTGTCAAAAAAAAAAA